TAGAGAAGCAATTATCCCCTTGTTAAAGGTGATACAAATCACAGGTTTTAATGAAAAATTCAGTTTTGCTCCTTCTGCCATGCCAACAAATCTTGTATCCATTGATGTTTTGATCCCAGTACTCTCCAAAAGAGATAATCTGATGAAATAAAGTATCTCTGAGTATGTTTCTGGCTCACGATGTGACAGCAACATTTTCTAGGCATAAACTAAGATGAGCAAAGAGGGATTCATTTCACAGAATGCTGCTATTATACCACTGGAGCAACCCTGCACCCATTCATGAGCATATTAATTTTCTGGCTTGTTTAGGGAGATGGGGAGGCTTGTCTATTGAAAGGGAGGCAAATGCCTTCCCAGAAATGTAAGAAAAACATTATATTTTTGGCGTGGTCCTAGCAAAAAAGTTATTAAGATAGTGGGCAATACCATTTTAGTGTTTCTGGTAGTTGTTTTTCCTTCTCTTATCTAGTCTCTTCTTAATTTTAATGTAAGTATTATTAACCTGCCCTATACTCTTTGAACTGAAGTAACTCCCAATGCGCCTCCCCCCTTTTATTTTATCCTGGTCCTAGTGGGTTGGAACTTTGCTCTCAGGCTTTAGACTATTGGATCCCCTCACCTCACACTGAGTTCTCTCAATAGGGTTGCATCTTCGGGGGTGACAAACATCTTTTTTCTGGAAACTTCCATCTCAATTTCCTGAAATGTACCTGTATCCAACAGGCATTCTTTCCTTCATATAATTAAATATAGTCAGAGAATCTACTAGGTAGATTCAGTCTGCTGGTATTAGAGATAAAAACTGAACCTGAACCTGCCCCTCCCTTTTTGCTCCTTATTTCTTCACAGTTTAGGCAGGCAGAGGAGTCAACAGATACATTTCAACACAAGTAGTAGTTGGGGCTAGGTAAAATCATTGTCTATAGGGGCCAGCCACATTGGTTCTTCCATACCAGGTGTTAAATTCTGAGATAATTCTGTATGTGCTGCGAAGTAACTGAGTGCTCCCCCTCTCCTTCCCAATACTGGATGGCTCCCTGGGCCACCTTCTGATTCAGCAGCTAAAGGGTTTATACCTGATACAGCACAGGGCCTTCAGATTCTGCCCCTGTGCTAAGGAAGTTGTGTAGTTGTTAAATATTTTAAATAAAGAAAATAGATATAAAGGAAAGACTTGGCAAGGAGACCAGAGGAGGGAGCATCAAGCCTAGAACCCTGAAACCTATGTGGTTTATCCTGGAGTGCCCGCAGCATAATTTTTTTTTTTTTTTTTTTTTTTTTATCCAGTAAGTATTAAGGTGAGTTCTTAGTCAAAAGGTCACCACCTGTAGAGATGGGAGCACAAGAAATCTGGATTGGCCTCTTCCTTCTTTGAAACTTGGTCAGTCTCTTTCCTTTGGCCCTGAAAAGGAGAACTACCACCAGTAGCCTCAGCCCAGATTTCCTCTCTGAAATAAAATACGCAGGCTGCTCCAATGTCCTGGGACCATGATGACTAAGTGGACAACAGTAACTTTAAAAATCAGAAAAAGAACAGCAGCATGTCATGACTTGCTGTAGATATTTACATTAACAAGTCATTTGTAAAGTGGATATTTACATATGGGGCATCTGGGTGGCTCAGGTGGTTGAGCGACTGACTTCGTTTTGGCTTAGGTCACGAATTCAGGGTCCTGGGATCGAGCCCCACGTGGGGCTCTATGCTCAGCAAGGAGTCTGCTTGAGATTCTCTCCCTCTCTCTGCCCCTCCCCCAACTCTGAAATAAATAAATCTTTTTTTTTAAAAAGAGATATTTACATAAATAAGGGCCTTTCCTTATGTAAAGCTTACAATGCTATCTTCATTTGTAGAATTTATGGACTCTAACCAAAGTCCTGGCTAGAGAATAGAGGAGGGCATATTGGTGGTGGTTCTCAGGACAGAAGATTCATCTCTGCATGCCCCACAGCACTGGCATAGGTTCAATGCACTCAGTGACTATTCTGAATTCAAGAGGTTGAATTCCATCTTCTGTGAATCAATGGGTGATAACATAATAATAGTACAAAAAGTGGCTGATGTTTCTTGAGCTTTCTGCATTGTCTAAGTGATTCACATGTACCATCTCATTTAAACTCCAAAACTACACTCTGGAGACATACTATTATTATTATTATCTCCATTAATAATTCAGAAAACATATGTATAGAGGACTGAAATACCTTGCCCAAAGTCAAAAAGTTAAAAATGGTGATGCTTGTCTTTACACCTAGAGTTCTGCAAGGAAATGAGATTAACATTCTATGGTCGTGACTAAAGCCAAAATAAGGGGTGATATTAAATATTATTTATGACCTCAGAAATACCTCTGCCATTATTTGTAACACAGGTGATACCACCGTAATTTAAGATTAGTAGAGTTCTTTAGAAATTTATTGACTTGTATGGGAAGGAAGAAAGTGATTACCGCCTCATATTCTGCAAATAACGTACCTGACTACTCCTTCAGTGGAGCTAGACACACACTTATAAAACAAAGATCAGCTGAATTGATCAGCCATGCATTCACTGAGCATTTACCATTGGAGTTTTTCAGAATCGTTTGCCTTGGATGCAAAAGAAGCACAAATCCTTGCCAGTATAGCCTGATATCTTAAGGACTGATTTTATTTACGGGAAAGTGCAAGAGTCGATCTGTGAGCTCAATATTTCATTCTATGCTATTTTTATGCTTTTAGATTCTTCAAAAAATTTAAATATTAAGTAATGAATGCATTTATCATAAAATTAAAATAGTCTTACAATCTTTTAATTCACCAGGTTACATTTCATTCCTTTCTTTATTCATTTATCTACCCCTCTTAAGCAACTGACCGTTGTAATGTGTTTCATTAAGGTACTTATTAGCTTTCTGATCTTAGTGATTCTAAGGGTGTTGGATAGAATCTACATAGGCGTTTGCTAGCCTGCTCTTGAGTGTAGCTGTTTGATGTGTCTTTTGACTTCAAAAAAAAAAAAAAAAAAGAAAGAAAGAAAGAAAGAAAAAGAAAAAGCCACATAAATATAGTTCTTTGAATGTCAAATGGGTATATGATTTTTGAGCTTGCCAAGTGTTAATTGGTCTCTTCCCCATTGATGATACAAATAAAATTCACAGTCAATTAGTTTTAGTCATGAATCTTTACTCCTTGACAAAGTGAACCACTTTGTTGGAGAGACTAAAAAAATGAAAAAATTACTAGGATCTTGTCACTGAAAGTCTTTGCAGGGATCAGCAATCTGTAAGAAATGCTGGGTAAAAATGAGGCTATGGATGCCCATGTTACTCAGAATATATTTTGGTCTTTAAGGCAGTTTAATGGCGGTTTGCATTAGAATTTTTAAAAATACAATGGAGACAGGTGCACTCATAATAAGTGAAATGAAATACTGAAGAGAAAAGAGTTGTCTCCTTTCATTACACTAAATCATATTGCATATCGGTGTTGGAAGATAGAGTCTTGATGTGGTTGGATAAAACAGCTATAATCATGCAAAGTGTCCGATGCGCTGCTTGAAAGTACCAGGGGATGCCAGTTACAAGGCAAACAATAGTTCTCTTCTTTCAGAGGAAAACAAGAAGCTTCATTAAGAGTGCTACTTTGAGGCTAGAGATATAAATGGCTGTGAGAGAAAAAAAACGCAGTTGTTTTCTAAGAGCCTTGCCTAAATTTCTAATTCATTTATTATTAATAATAATTTGGAAAGAGCAATTAGATGTTTAATCTTGTTGTTGTGAGACCAGCTAACGGAGTTGACTCCTACCTTTGCTTCAACCTTCAAAAGACTGAAAAACTATGAGAAATCTAATAGTAAGTGTACAGCTACAAAACTTTTTTGAACGATGATGTGTCAATAATGGTTTTAATTGCATATAATTGCAAATAATGGTTTTTTTGCATTTGCATTTTTACAACAACAACAACAAAAATCCAGCGGGTCCATACGCAGACCCAAATCGTGGCAGCTAAAAAAACGCCTCTTTCCATACATGCAATAAAGAGTAAAAATTTCAAAGGACTAAATATAGTTTGGAGGTTAACAAGGACCAACAAGTTGGCAGCAATGTATGTCACTTGTCAAATTGAAGTGTTTCTGGGCCCACAGAACACCGGATTAGCTAAGGCAATAGCGTCTGATGCCCTATTAGGATGTCTCCTAAAAATCATAAATGGTAGCATTTTCGAGAGTTTAGAGTTATTTGTTAACAAATGAAAGACACAGTATTAGACGATTTTCCTAACAAGTATGCTTTATGATGGTGAATGGCTCAAGGAGCGCACGGGGTTCTCTTGTGCTCATGTAGGCCTATCCCCCATAGACAGGCATTTGCAAAGGACAACTGCATGGTTTGGTGCTAATGAAAAACATGGTATGTATCTGATTCATCATGCTTCATTAACAATCAACAGGCTTTGTTTTAGCAAAAACAAAAAATGAAAATGAAGAGCTTGATAAAAAGTTCATGGTAGGAAACTAATTGACACTTGTTATTTCTCAAGCATGTTTCTATTCATGGTGTGTAAATATGGCCTTTAGATTACATCATGGAACAGGAAATGTCTATGTGGGGTGCACAGGCTCATACACACACACACACACACACACACACACAAACACACCTTTTACATTTGTTGCATATGATCAAGAACAATAATAAAATTGATAGTACATTATTGTCTTATCACCACTCTATATGAAAAGTGCCAGATACAATAAAGCAGTGTTTCTGATTTCTTGAAAGAGAATGACAAAATTGAACCAAGCTGCCCGTGGCTTTGTCCAGTGGGGCATTCTAATTGACTCCCAAGTCATTAATCAGTCCCCAATCAATCTGTTTTGCCAGCAGCAGGCAGTTAGGACTCCATTCCCAACCATTCATCATGCCATACCCTAATTCACTGCCCCATTAGCCATGGATTAGGCCTCTGTTAGAATAACTAAGTGCCAGTTGCTAAATGCAAAGAATTTTTGTTACCTCAGCCACTGGGATCCCTTCAGGTGGTCGACACTGGAGCAAGACTTCCTGTTCCAAAGATACTTCCTTTCCCAGGGGTTCCTGCTCAAATGTCTTCCGTAGATCTGGAAAGCACAGGTAATAAAATACATGACAAAACTAATAATTAACATTTATTTATTTATGGAAAATGATATAAAAATATCCCAGTTTAGTATTTTATGTATCTTTTTATTTTTATTTTATATTTTTTTAAAGATTTTTTATTTATTTGACAGAGAGAGACATAGCGAGAGAGAGAACACAAGCAGGGGGAGCAGGGGAGGGAGAAGCAGGCTTCCTGTGGAGCAGAGAACCGGATGTGGGGCTTGATCCCAGGATCCTGGGATCATGACCTGAGCCGAAGGCAGACGCTTAATGACTGAGCCACACAGGAGCCCCTCTTTTTATTTTTTTTTAACCAAACTTTGTTAGTACTGTACCATAATCCAGGCTATTATATTCTGTGTGGTGGAAAACATGAAATTCAGAGGCTATTAACTGCTTCTACTTTAATCTTCAATGGAATGCTTTGGAGAACCTCATTTACACAATCAGTGAAATTGATTAATTGCATTTCCTTAGTATTACTTGATCATCAATTATGGTGATCACATTTTTTTTTATCAAAAGAGTCCCATTATCATGATACTTATACACACAGAGTCTGTTATATATGTAAATATTTTTCTCTTTCTTCATAATAGGTATTATTAAAGTTGTAATAACTCTGAGATCTTTTGATCAATAACTCAAGAGGAAGTTTATGTTTCAGAGTGGGAAACAGAATGCTGGAGTCCTGAGAGAATTAATGTAACTTCTTGAGATGTTTCAAACAGGAAGCAAGAAAAAGAGGAGCTATGGGGATGAGTCTAGAAATATCTCAATATGTAATTATGTAGCCATTCTTCGATTAGAAGATTAAATGGTCATTTTTGCTCAAATATGCCAACTGCCTAATTGTATATTTATATAGTTATAGTTGCTAAGATATATGCAGTAGACTTTTAAAAATCGTTATAAGTGGACACGAACATATTAGAAATCAGTTTGTAATTTTAAACACCCAAATTAAAAAATAAATGATCCAATCATAGAGTTCTGAAGCAACATTAACAACAACAAAAAAACCCAAACCAAAAACATACCAAATACTTTGTTTCATACATGTACAGTTTCAGCTTCTTCTAATGAAAAGTTATTGTAATTTTATCCGTTGATTTTGATTATAAATTAGTGCTTCTATCCTTTCATGCCATGGCCCTGATAAAGGCTTAAGAATCGAAAAGTACCATTTTAGCCTACTGAACGATGGGTGGAAACCCAAAGACTCTGGAGGTCATATCCTTAATGTCTTTCAAGGAGCTATCAGAAAGTACCATCTGGAAGAATGGATAGAGAGAAAAATCCATTGTTACATACTTGCCATTTATTGAATTTCTTGGCATAAGAAAACTTTCAAGAGCTTAGGGGTTGTGAGAAAATTATGGATCTGTGCGATTTGAGGTAAGACAAGGGGGTCTCCAAATGGTGATGGAATTTCTGGCAGAAGGCCACTTGTAATTTGATTATCAAGAAATTGAGTATATTGCAGAAAAAAACACTTAAAATCCACAGGATTATCAGAATTTACAAGTTATCGAAACCATGTCCTTATTTTACGTATAAGAAACATATCTATCAAATTACTCAAAGCCTTACAGCAAAATAATCAATGCTACATTAGAACATGTTGAACCTTGGTTTGTACATATTTTGCTATTACACATATCCCTTTCACACATCTTTTGGTTAATCTGTGTCCTTCCAACACAAACATTTAAAACTTTTCTCCTCTGTGTCACTTCTTACATAGTAGTTTCTCTTTGTGCTCACTTTGGCAGCACACACACTATAGTAACTTCTCTTTGTTTTGGATCTGCATTAAGATAAAACTTTGGCAAAACGCCAAATACTAATAAAAAGAATAGCAACAATGAACAATTTTTATGGGATAAAATGTTCTTGACAACATATACCTTGTTTGTAAAAAAAAAAAATCATTCTGAAAAACTCCCATCTGATGTAGGGTAGGGTGAAGAAATAATGACTGGAATTAGTTCTCAAATTAAAGAACCCACTGACTCATTCTTGGTTAAATTAATTGGCATGTCACAAAATGAGGGCTAAGAATAAGAGTGAGGCACATATGTATCCAAATAGCTAAAACAAATTCTTTTAATATTTATTAATCATATGCTTTGGTTGACAATTGATTAGGTACTTAAGATGACGATGTGTAAGATAAAGACCCAAAACTAGACAGGTAAGCTAAGGTCTAGTTGTGAAGCGCCTTTCTGCCATGCTGAGGAATGGCAAACCCTCAAAAGCTTTTAAGCAAATGAAGGAGATCAAATGTCACATTGCCCTCCTTGTGATAGATGGATTGAGGCGGTGGTGAAGAGACAGAAGGTAGTTAGGGACCCATCTGAATAGACCAGGAGGGATGACGGGGTCCGGAACTCAGCTAGTCATAGTGAGGAGGGGCAAGCAATAGGAGGAAGAGAAGGCAGATTCTAGAAATAAAATGATCATACATTCGGGAAGACTCAGGTATTTGGAAAATGCCAGGAGGGAAGAATAATAGTATATTCTTAGTAATTCTATTGCAGTTGTTAAGATGGTAGCATCACTAGATGAAATAGTACCGAATTAGGCAGGAAAGTGAAGGGAAAGATAGCAATGCATTTTGGTATAGGCTCAGTTTGCTGTGTCTGTAAGATATTCAGATGGAAAGTGCAATAAATCCAGATCATGATTTCTCAACCACAGTACTACCGATATTTGGGACTGGAGAATTCTCTGTTGTGAGGTTGTCCTGTGCACAGCAAAATTCTTAGCAGCATCCTTGGACTCCACCCACTAAAAGCCAGAAGCACCCCTCCGAGCCAGGGCAAACTAAATACCTCCATACGATGCCTAATGTTCCCTGTAGGCAAAATCCACCCAAAGTTGAGAACCACTGGCCTAGAACTTAAAAAAAAAAAAAAAAAAAAATCCTCGTAGGAGATTTGTGCTGCGTTGTCTAGGAGATGGCTGAAGCACGGGAAATAGATTAGATTACATCACCAGGGGAAAGACTGTGTTCAACAAGCAGGGCACCAACATTCGAGGGAAAAGGCTGCCAGCAAAATGACATGGCATGAACCAAGAGGCAAGAGAGGAACCAAACAGACATGTGTCAGAGGAGCTAAGAGGAGAGTAAAGTTTTAGAAGTTGGGAGGCCAACAGGACAAATCCCGGGAAAGACTCACAGGGGCGAAGAAGGGATTGGTTTGGGACATTTAGGCACGAAGGGTGAGTGGAAGTCAAGCTGTGTTGAGGGGTGCACGGGAACTGGGAATATGACCATCATGAGAACCTACTGCTCTTTTGCCAAATTTTACGGTGACAGAAGTCAGCGGCACCATTAAGGGGCGATGGGTCTGCATGCAGCATGCTATAATTTTTAGAATATAGTGTAGTTTTTGGCATGGGTTTCAAATTCCTGCCATATGAAGGCACATCTTATGAGAATCCTTGTTTCCTAACTGAGAATGGTGACCACATGTCAGAAGCACACACTTCGAGAGACAGGTTGAACTGAACCATCATTGAATGCCTGATAATTATTTCACTTTAGTGGTTTGGCTTTAAACTCCATATAAATTTTATGTAATTTCTAAAATGATCTCATATTTAACCCCCCACGAGGCAATACTTCTTCCTGAAAAATCCTCTCATTTCTGCCATAAAACCTCTTTTCTAGCTTTCAGGTTGGGTAATGAGCATAGACTATATTGTGGCTGTCCAGCAAAGCAACTGCTAATTTCAGTAGGTCTCCACGTTACTCTGCGAGGGGAGAGTGGGTAACATTTTAAGCATATCCTTTATCATTTGCAGAGATGTGATAGAAGGCAGGGCGGATGCCTTGCTGGCAGAGAGAACACAAGGGTGACGAATGAATAAGCATGAAAAACGGACACTTGTCAGCTAGGAATTAGATGTAAAACGGAATGGTTCAGGATAATGTAGGTATTCCTGTCAGTAGAAGAGATGAATTTCTGCTCTTGGAAGACCTTTAGGATTCTACATTTCTGTTTTCTTTCCGTTAGTTCTAAGGCTGATACTAAAATAAGTATAAAGTCCTTTCATTATAACCTAGATTACTTTTGCAAAGTCAACTTGGACTACCTCTGACTTAGGTGTTGATTCCAGCGACTAAAAGAAAAATCAGCTTTGTCATATGCATGCATTCTGAGAGATGTTTACCTAAGACCATGAATATTGGCTTACTAAATCCATACAGCAAAATCCAATTAGCAGATGTAGAATCAGACTTGAAACTATATGGATTTCTATTTACCATTTACACAGTAATCAAAGAAAGCCTTTCAGAACACCTACATGCATGGGCACACACGACGTCTCATTTTTTACTGTAGAATTTTGATGCTTTCAATGAATTCTTTCCACAATAATAATACTGTGGTTACAAATTATTTATGATGTGGACTATGCCAATTCATGGCATTCTACAAACATGAACTTCACTTTTTGACGGTGTGGTACACGGAAAAGAAGGCTAACTGGGAGTCTGAAGTCTGTGCCCTTCACCTTCCTCATTTGTAAAATGAAAATAAATGTCTGGATGCTTTCAGAGGTCTCTTTTGCTACATATAAGGGCCAATGACTGAACAGACTAACATTTTAAACAAGTGTTTGAGGGGGAAAGAGGTTTTCCTGTGTTGAATAAAAGACTTGGTTGTGATGGATCTTTAAGGAGCTATACCAATCAGATCAGCGTCCAAGAGAAATAATAGAAGAAATCATTTTTAAATAATAGAGGAGTTGACGAATCTTTGAAGAGAACAGCTTACAATTTTCCCCTCAGGACAATTTCCATGGAATTTTTGGACACTTGGGTCTATAGGTATAGGTAAGAGTTAGAAAACAGGGAAAACAGTGGGTCCCAGAAGATTGGGTATTAAAAATATCGGGAAATTCTTTATACAAATCCAAGGAAGCAATCACAAAAGCAGACTAAAATTAAAACTTGGCTGATTGT